GGGGAAACTCCCACTAGGTTTATATCTGGGACTCTCCACCATTTGACCTTAGAACTGAAGAAGCTTCTCGGATGAGAGGTGAAACGTCTTCAAGCAACTCAAAGAAGTCCAGACGCTTTTCTTTCCAAGCTCCTTAGGCCTTCATCAATTGGCTTTGTTCAATGGTCATAACAATTCGCATATTAATGATCAAGGAACTGAGCTCCCACGCCATTGTTCATTCAGTGGTGCTGGTTTCAGTCATTGTGCAAATGTCCTGTTTATATGGTTGGGGAAACCTGCAGTCAGCTGAGACTGAAGAAGTCACCTGGATGAGTGACAAAACATTTCTCCCACTGAAAACGTCCAGATGAACAGAATCAACCTTTTGGGATTTCCTTACCTGGATGATTGAGCATGCATCAAGACACTGCACAGATTCATTTTCTAACATGCCTTTATTTGATTATTCATTCCCCAAATGCCATATATTTACTCGAGGACTTAAACTGAGCAGCACCTGTCATTATAAACAGGTGAAGCTTGGCTGATGCCATGATGTCAGTGGAGATGGGAAAATTCTCACAGTGATCATGGATTTGGATACCTCTGTGGTAACCAAGATGCTGTGATGGACCTGGAGGAAACATTTGACACCCTGAAACAGAACTGGTCTGTGACAAACCTGCAACGTTCAGCTGCTCACACCGGAGCAGACACCTGTCCCACAGGCTGATGCGAGTTTGAACATTTGCCCAAAATGCACTTTGTAAAGTTTCCTTCAGCAAATGATCAGAAACAGATCAAACATCAGGTACCCGTCTCTGCTCCTCTGTGTCACTGAGATTCTATGCTAAGACACTTCAGGGTCGTGGAGGGGTGGAGCCTATTCCAGCTGTCATAGGCTGAAAGGTGGAGTACAACTGGACAGGTGGCCAATCTGACACAACGAGATAAACCAACATTCATGGCAATGGCAGGTTTATTATCACCAGTTAACCGGATGAGGAACCTGGAGAACCCTCAAAGAGACAGGAGAACACCCCTGTTTCAGCATCCCTGTGAGGATGAGGATGATGAAGGTTTCTGAATTTGGTGAGGTGAGGAGGTTCCAGCATGTTCAGCAAAAACACATCAGCTGATTCGTTAAAATGCTAGCATTAAACACACGCCGTGTGTGTGTGTGTGTGTGTCACCGTGGGAACACTTCT